TGGAACACCTTGCAGTTAACATATAGATTAAAGAAAGTGTTTTGTTTTTTTTTATTTTTTTTAAGACAACTATATTTAAATTTTATAAAATTGTATTCATGTTCTTTTTAATACTTACTTCTTACTGTATACTCATAAAAGTAATGATCACTTAGGTAATCATTAGGAGGTCATTTATGATGAAGTCAGCTGGCAATAAAACTATTATTACAAAAACAAATACATTAAAAACAACAAGGCAAAAAAAAGAAAAATTATAAAGTAAACACAAGAAATTTAAGATTAAAACTTTCTAAGATTCATAGAAATCGTCAACAAAACTTAGTTTAAAATTTTTCATCTACGTGATCTGTTGATCTTACTTATTTGCTAAAAACCTAACTAATTTTCCTTTTTGAAAATTATATTAGAATATACAAATGTGTGTGCAAGTGAAAATTAAAAAATGTATTTGAAAATTTGAGAAAATCATTAAAACTCTTTGAAATTTAAATATTGCTTTGATAAATTTAGAAGCCCTAGCTTAAAAAAAAAATTGTATTGTAAGGAAGCTGAAAATAAATTTTCTATTTTTTCAAGAACTACTTTTTGTAAAAATTTAAAATGCATTTTGTTAATAATCCTTTTTTGTTCGCATAGTTTATAAAATCAGCTCAAAATATTTCAAATAGTGTTTTGTGAGCAAAAGAAGGAAGAGCACCTAAAAAACTCACTTCAAAATTTAAAAATAAGTTCATTACAATAAATATTGTTTACAATAAATATTGAAAATTGTTTAAAATTATAGAATATTAAAAAATTAATCTTATTAAAATCTTAGATTTTTAATGTGTGCTATGAAAATTATTATAAATTACAATTTAGATAAGTTATTTATGAAAAAATCAAGCCTGGAGATTGAACTTTTTTAATTAAAAAACTTAGTTTGTATGGTTATAAAATTTATTATTATTTTTATACCCTACACTTCGTGAAGGGTATATTCACTTTGGTATGGAGTTTGTAACCACTTGAAGGACCCGTCTCACAAAACTTTCACAAGTTTTTTCTTTTGTGCAAACGACGGCTGCTATTGTAATTGAACCAATTCGGACAACGGGTTCGGGTAGCTGCCATACAACTCAAAGGATTCTTTTTAAATATTTCAAAATGTAATAGAGATATTAATATCAAATTGTGCAAAGATATGTCAAATTATACTTCACATATGCTCTGAAAATTTTAACTGAATGACTGCACTTGTTCGGGTAGCTACCATACAATTCCGAAAGTTAAGTTAACACTTAATTAATATTTAAATTTAAATATTTGGGAAAATATTAAAGCTAAATAAAATATGCTAGATTCATGAAAATTGGCCGTCGTGTGTGTCTGACTTATAGGTCAGACCTAATATACGTTGAGTTTCTATTGAGTGGTTTGACAGGTTCATGTTAATGCCATTTAGCAATCAAAGTTATTTCTAAATATTTCATAAACAAATTTTTAAACTCAGATTGTCAAAGTGTAGGACTATGCTGGAAACACGTCCAGTAATCTATAAGAAAACACTTAATTAAAGTTTTAAGTGATTTATAGTAATTCTTAACTTTAAACAACGCTATGAAATCCATGTGGTTGTTTAAAATACTACGAATTTAATTAAAAAAAAAAACAATAAATATAAAAAAATCATTAAAACAAGAAAAAACTGTACCATATTTTTTTTAAAGAATATTTTCATCACTTGTTATTTTAAACACTCAAACACACAAAAACTTTTACACTGAATATTTAAAAATCTTGCCCACAATAATTGAAAAATAATTTTCTACAGATTAGGTACATTTAAATAAACTGCAATCTTTTTTATATAGCTACATTGACTTTATCTTTAATCTGAATTTAATTTGAAATTCATGTTGAGATCTAACATAATTTCATTTAAAATTCTTTGTAATTAAATCGAAACATCTTGTCTAATAATTTCAAAAAATTTAATGCCAAATCATTAAAGTTAACAATACAATATCCTTTTAACAATAAGAATATATTTTGTTCGGCTTTCGGTTAGACGTTTCTTATTCCTTTAAAATTAAAATATAACCCACGTGTCAACAGTATGTATGTAAGCAATTTGAAAGGACACACAACTAAAAAGAAATAACAAGAAACATAAAAATTGAATGAATTAAAAGCAAAGAGTGAGTTAAAATTTTAAAGGAGAACCGAGATAATAAAGTTACAATTCTTTTCTCGTCTTGTAAAATTTTAGCCTTTTCGTTGTAACGTTCAATTAAAAATCCTTCATCACTTACAAAATGGAGCAAGGAAACGTGATAAGAAATTAAAATAGAAAAAAAAGGCAAGAATCAAGTCAAAGATTAAAAAAAAAAAAAAACCAAAGAAAAAAATCTCAAAAATTTAATAAAAAGAGGATTACAAGTAGTTCCAATTTCTTCTCTTTACTACTTACTTTCATATTTCTCTTTTTAGTTGACTAACTTTGAAGAAAACACGAAAATTAAATAAGAAATTTTGTTTTTTTTTCCGAATGAAATTTTCCTTTCGAATGGCCAAAGAAAATTTTTACAAATTAAAAATTCAAAGTGAAAAATGTCAAATGCAAAACAATAATCCTGTGCCATTGAAATAGTAAAAAATGGTTTGTCTGAAACTTAAAAACTGTTCAAGGATTTGCAAAACCAAGAAAAATAAAAAAAATAAGTAAAAATTGGAGCGGAAAAGAAAATTAAGTAGAAAATTATTGTTGCGATTTTCTTTATTTTTTTTTATTTTTTTATTTTATGTCCTTTTACGAACTTTTATGTTAAAAAATGATTTATGAATTTTTAAAGATTGACAGATTTGTTGTATACGCGTAGGCATAATATTATTTTAAAGTGTGACAGATGCTGCTTTGTCATTTTGGTATAAAACGAGAAAAATAGACTAAAATAAAATACTCAACGAACCATTGTTTGTTTCAAAATAATTAAAATTTTTACTTTTTTAATTTCTCATTCTTTAATAAATGATTGTACGATTTTAATTAACACCGTTGAATTTTTCTAATTTAATCAAAAATATCTTTTAAAAAAGTTTTCATTTTAAATTTTGAATTTAAAAATTAGAATTAAATTTAATATATTATTATTAAATAAAGAATTATTTCTTATTGTTATTTATTATTATTAAATTAAATTTTAATTAAAATTGCAAAATTCTGGAAATAGCTGATTAAACATGAATAATATTGGGGGTTTTAAAAAAAAATTGCCAAGTTAAAAACTGCCATTCGGTATTTTTGTTTTTGTATTTTATTTCACCCTTTAAAAACACAGAACGATTTTCTCTCAATCTTTCCATAAATTAGTACATTATGATTTTTGTCTTGGAGTCAGATCTGGCTCTGAATTGTTTGGCGCCATACGCGATTTCCGAAGAGTGAGCGCATGCCTCCTCTCCATTTAACGTTTTCAAAAAGTTTTATCTTTTAAAATTTAGTTTTTTTTTTTAAATTTTCGAAGACGCTTCTATTTTCCGGGGCATATTGCAAATGCTTGCTTTGCCTATATGGTAGATCCGAAGCTGTTTGGAGTGCTACTGAACTTTCTATTTTTACATTTCCTTGATATATAAAATGAAATCAAATTTAAACAGCATGACATTTTCATAACATGCTGGATAGTAACTAATACACGAGGCTTCACACGAGACTTAACTCTGGTTAAATTCTATTATGTTCTTTATGATATACGCATTTAATAAATTGTGCGTAATTTTGTAATTTATTCTGGTAATTTAAAACTTTTTTAATAATATTATGAAAAATGTATTCTAATATAATTTTACAATAAAAATTTTTCCATTGAATTTTTTTAATATTTTTAATTTTTGCATTAAAATGCAACTGAAAAAAGAAAATAATATAATTAAAAATTTTGCAAGTATGTATTAAAAAAGTTTTCGACTTATTTCAGTTTTTTTTTTGATAAATTTTCTTCTACAATATTATTCAAAACATAAAACTTTATGAATTCATCAGTTAACATACACATTGTATTTTTTACCGGTTGCATTCCATCCAATTAGGGAGGGTATGTGATGGCACCAAATTTCAGATGTCGAGTTTTAGACGGGAACGCACTTCTTCGTAGTATGTCGATCTGTCGATCTGTGTATTCACGCGTCTATCTCAAGTTCGGCTGAACCAATTTTGATGAAATTTTACATTTTTGATAGTATGAAAAGAAATTATCAAACAATTTTCTTAAAATTTAATATACAAATTCGACGTGTAAATAAATCTATAAATTTTTTGGAAAGATCAGGGCTCGGAAACTGAACTAGGGGCGAATTTACATTTTTTACCATATCTACGGAACAGATTGATGAAATTGTTTAAAATTTGATATGTCAGTTCTGGTTGTTACCCGAACCTGTTGAATTCGGCTTTTTATGGAATTCAGGTGGCTCAAAAGGGAAATTCTAGTAAGACCCAAATTTACGCTTTTCTAGCTATGTTAACTAAAAGCTTGCTAACTTCTCTAAAATTAAAAGGAAGTATACAAAAGGCATTTTTATAACCTTGTGTAACACTTTCACTAAACTAGATAATAAAATTGGGGTCAATTTTTGTTTGAACAGCTGCAATAAAAATTTAGTTGAAATTTTCTTAATTAAAATTTACTTTTAATTAAAATATTTTTTTGGAAATATTCAAAATTATTATTATTAAAAATGTTTCTGTTTTTTTTTTTAATTTTCCAAATTTTCAACTATCTCAACTGTTAAAAGATATAGTAATATGAAATTTCTCTGTGCTTAAATAAAAATGAATATTTATGATTTTAATTATTATAAGCCTTTAAAAAACACAACCGCTTGTAAATTTAAACTATATTCAATAAAGTATAAAAAGCCAAATTCATATACTTATTATAACTTTATAACTCCAGGAACATTATTAATCTTATGTGTATAAACGACATATAAATTTACACATGTATGTAATATAGAACAAAAAATGTTGGCACACGACGAAAAAATGCTAACAGCAATAATAGTGCAAACACTTTATCATATTTAAGTCACGGTAAAATTAAGTTGCAAAATAATTTTTCTTTCAGATATAACCAGAATTTTCTGGAAGGATTAGTAAATGTACTATTTATTCATATACCCCGCACATATCAACACGTTATAGTAATTATATACACTTGATAAACGGGAGTTACATGAAATTATGTGTAAAAATAAATAAGTGTTCAGATTAAGAAAATATTCTTTAAGCGTTTTCAGAACGATTACAGCTATAAATCATAAAATTATTATCTTAAATGTAAAATAAAAACAATATTGTTAAAATACTATGAAAAATCCTAGCGGAAAATAGTTTGTTAGCATTAAGTCTCTCTTTTTCGAAATTTGCATTGTTAGAATAATTGGATAAATATAAAAGATCTTACCATCTGTGTAATAAAATGAACTGAATTATGTAGGATGAGTTGTCGACTTTACCTGTGAACATTAGCAGTATCTCTGAAAATATTTAAGTTATCATTAAAAATTTGGTATGCATATGCTATACAGAAAACATAATTCAGCTCTCATCCCACATTTATGTCACATTTTATGTCTTAATGTTTTAAATATATTACGACATAACGTTTTAAATATATTACGACATAATATTAAAGCATTTTATAACCAATAGCACTTTCAATTCAATGTCAAATGGAGTGCATTATATATTCCATTGAAAATTTTTAAAATCATTTTTAATTAATGCTCCGTTTTCGAAACTTATTATGTGCCTTGTACCTAGCAAAGTTCATTATTTTATTAAAATAGCAAACTAGAGATATAGGTTATAATAAAACAACTGACTCCAACCTATATACTACATACTTGCATACTATATACTATTTAACGGTTTGCTGTTTGAACAAAAATTAGATTTTCATGGTTTTCTTAATGACTAAACCACTTATAATAACCACTTTATCATTGCGTATTCGATCAATCTGTAGGAAATTATTTAACAGAGAATATCAACAAAAATATTTTAAAATTTTGATCCTGACAAGAGTTTCCACGGTTGAGCAATTTAAATTCCACGTAAATTTTTAACTATATTAGAAATTTGAAAATAAAATCCTAGCTTCTGGATTTCCCTGCTCATTTTCAAGTATATACCCCTTTCTTTCGAACGCTCATTTTTACTTCAAATACTTTTAATAGAAACTGTTGCCTGAACGTCTAGTACAGATATTTCAATAATTTTTTTTTCGATTTCACACAGATTTCATTTAGAATTGTTTTCAAGTTTAAAAATTTGGCAAAACAAATTATTTATCATTATGCCTCAAGTATTCCAATATATCGCTTCCAAATTTAATTCTACAGAAGCTTATACCTTCCAATATTTTTGTATAAACTTTTAAAATAAATAATAAGAGGCACTTTACTTTCTACATATTTACATAGATAAATATATGAATAAAAATATTAATATTTTTTTCAACTTTAGGAAATAATTAAAGCAAAATAATTAAAATAGTAAAAAATAAATGAAATTTCACTTTTGCTTTTAGATTTCGGCAAGTGCTTTAATAAACTCAATAAATTTGAAAATAAATTCAATATTTGAGTATACATACATTTATACTTAAAATATTATTTTTGTTTTTTGTAACATGGCTTAGGTAGATTTGGTAATTGGGCCATACATATATTTTATATCATATAGATATACATACATAAATTAAAAAGATTTATAGAATAAATTGAAAGTATCACTTTACAATATGCTAACAACAAAATAAAATTATATTATACTATAAGCTGTAGAGATATAATATATGTAAAATTGTGTGTTTCAAATTATTTTAGTTAAATTATATTATACGTACATATTATCATGTTTGAAAAATATGTTGCCGCAATGGTAATTGACTATAATTAATCTTAACATATTGGAGTTAAAATATTGGAAATTAAATGCTGTATAAATCTAGGCGCTATTCAAATTTGAACAAGAACTAAACAAATTTTATTCAACAGGCTCTATAAGAAATGATTGTCTTAAATTGTTTCATTTAATTTTATATTATTTTCTGAGCTGGAAAATCCAACAGGATTTATTGTCCTTCATATTGATTCTAACAAAAAATATTATAAGCTTTGGTAACCAGTTCTGTGGTTTAAAATAAATACTGATAAAGCCGGGAATTAATTCAAAAATTTTAAACCAAATGAAAAAACTTAATCTAATTTTAAAATTAAATTCAAAACTTTAATTTTTTCATTCATATAACCTCATAAAGTCCAAATTAAATTTCGGCAATGTAGAGGTAAAATTTGTAAAAAATTCCATCTGATATTTATATTGTATGAAGAAATCTAATTTGCAATCAAATAAAATTCATATTAGGTGGTTGATGCTTGTCACCACAGGATTATTGTTATTTTTTCGATTTTCATTTTTCATTTTTCTATGTGAATTCAATTCAATTTCATTTTCAAATATTACATTTGAACATATTCAGAGGGACAAACTTTTATTTTTTTTTTTAAATTTTCAGAAATTTTCATTTTAAAAGCGACAAAACCAAATGTTCGATATAAAATTCCCTTTTTATATTTTCACCATAATTTATAAAGTAAAAATAAAAGCAAACAAAAAATATTAAACGTGCGAAACTTTTAATAAAAATCAAATAATATTAAAAGTACATAGATACGAGAGAAGTGGGGGGGGGGGGGGGATTTTAATGAAAGATTTTAGTTAAAAGATCATTTCTATATTATTTCGGATTCATTTAACTATATTTGATGATGAAAATGATAATATATACTTAACGATAATGATTATGATCAAAATATAATATCAATGATGATATTAAAAGTGAAGTTCAACAAAATTCATGTAATAAAAAATGAAACGTTTTCAAAGTTGAACTATTTTTGGTATAGAATTATATATGTAGATGTTTTGGTGTTGGTATTGTTATAAATTCATAGAGAATTATTATACAGGGAGTTTCGCAAAAAATTTCAGGAATGATGCTTTTATTAATTTTCAGGCAAAATTTGTTTGGCTTGGGAAGGGGATACGGATATACTCGTTTTCGAGCTACAGCCTGTGATAAATTTGCATTTTTCATATGTTTTTTAAACACATTTAACTTATTTTACACATTTAACTTATAAACAACAATAATTTAAAAAAAAAACGAATGTCCTGACTTTGACGAACCGCATTTCGAAAAATGTGACTCAAATAAAATTGATTTTAACACGGAAAAATAGTTGTCACAATCAATTGCCTATAAAACAACCCTCTGACAGTTACTCTATGCCATATGGTTCTGAATTTATAACAATTTATTTATACACAAGAAAAATCTGGTACCTTTCTTTTTCAACAGCCTGCAGCTCGAAAATGAATATATCAGCACCCTCCAGTAGCCATGCAGTTTTTTACTGGAAATAGATCAAAGAATCTTTCTTGAAATTATTTGCCACCTTATGATAAACACCCTGTATAGAAAGATATAGTTTTTATTTATTTTTTTGTTTTATTTTTATTTTCTGTGTTTTACTAAACATTTAATGAATAGTTATTTTTTTTTATTATGTATATTACTTTTTTTTTTGTTTTAACCCAATATAGCATACAACATCTAAATAATAATTTGTTACACCTGAACTATTTTACATATAAAATTTTAGTATACGAATTTCTTTATTAAAAAAAATTAAAATTTACTATAGATAAATGAAGAATTTAATGCATATAATTTTTAGTGGAAAATAAAAATAAAAAAAAAAACAAAAATGAACTAGTAACTAGAAGTAACTAGGTTTCTACTTTTATCTACATTAATTTCTAATATAAAAGTTACGACAATTTAAGAAAGAAAAAAAAACTAAAAAATAAAAATTATGATTAAAAATCTTTTATAAAGGTGAGTTATTTGATATTTTTTTTTAATCGGTTGTCAATATCTGATGGTATCAATTCGTCAAAACAAAAAATTTAGAAAAAAAAACTAGATTCAATTCCTTAAAAAAATTTTAATAATTCATAATTAATAAATTGAAAAATTCAATTAAAAAACCAAAATGACGAAGTAAAAATAAATTTCAATTACAAAAATATTGTTACCAGTGAACAAGAAAAAAATTAAAATATTAATTATAATAATATATAAATGTCAATAAAATGTTCATCCTGACGAAAATGAAATTAAATTTTTTAATTTTAATTTTAATTTATTTTAAAATTCAACAAATAATTGCCATGTTTATGGAACATAATAACATAAATAATTTAAGAAATATTAATTATAAATTTAATAATGAAAATTTCCTTTTAAATAATATTAATAGTATTATTTCAACAAAATATAATAATAATCATAATTTATATAATAACAATTTGCCATTTTTATACAATACCATTAATAATACAACAAATTTAAATGAAAATTGGAAATTTCTAATGAAAAAGGATATTTTAAATCAGATTAATAACAATAATAACAGCAATAATATAAGTGATAAATTATCATCAAAATTTATAAAATTTTTAAATCCTTTAAATTTACAAAATAAAAGAAATTTTAATTTATCATTAAATGATATTAATAAAACTAAAATTTTAAATAATTATTACAAAAATAATATTATAAGTAATAATAGCAATTATGATGAAAATTTCAAAGAAATTCATTTTAATAATACAAAAAAGGATATTGAAAAACATGAAAGTAGTAATGTACAAAAAATTCATAATATGAAAAAATTTTCAAATATTCTCGATTTTAATAAATTGAAAATTATAAAAATGAATATTTCTAAACATAATGATAAAATAAAAGAAGATCTTAATAATTTTGGTGACATTACAAAAGCAACAAAAGGAAAAAATCAAATATTAAATGAAAATGCAACTTATTCAATACAAAATAGTCGCAAGGATACAAAATCAGAAAAGAGAAATTTTTTATCATCGTTGGATGATTTTTCACCATATACTGGATTAAATTTTAATGGTAAGAATAACAGAACTGAAACGATAAATTAATGTATTGGTATTAATGAATCGTCATCGTAAACTCGCGAACAGCACATTTTTAGTAATTCAAGTTTAAAGTTATAATTTTGTTTGTATAGTTGGGTACTCGTTTATTCAAACAAATTACTGTTTTAAATGGTTATATTTTAATGCCTTGTCCTAATATCCATTAATTTCCATTAATCTATGGAAAATAACGACTGTATTAACATTAGTCGGTCTTTAAGAGAAGAAAAAGTCAACAACATTTATAACAGAAATATGTAATCCTTTTAGAAAGAGAAAGAAATTAATAAAAACACAATCTTTCTGGCATTACTTTTAAAAAATGAACAAATATAAAAATTATTGATGTTTTTTAAACTCCTCCATCTTTAGAATTACTTCTGTAAGCTGGTTCTGCGTTTCTACTGGCGACTTAGATGTTTTGATTGCAGATGTTATATCAGATATCAGAGATGTTATATCATGAAATTCTTCAGATATAACATTTGTTTTCCATAAAGTTAATAGACCACTATACCTCTGTTTGGTAATTCCATTTTGATGAGTATATAATATAGGTGTTTGAAAAAATTTTTATTCTTTTTTGGTCTACGTGGTCTACAAATATTTATTGTTAGCGATTCGTTTTATATTTATTTGTGGCCGATTTGTTTTGCAAATTTAAAACATTTCATTTTTGTCCAATTAACTGATTCATTTTTAGTATCAACTTTTCCATTTTTAATTAAATTTTCCGATAATAAACTGAGATTTAAAAAATTATGGTATTTCAATGCTGTCATCTTACATTTAAGTCCTACAAGTGAGTTTTCATTGATGAAATGTTTTGTTTAAATGAAATTAGTTAGATATAATGTTTTATAACTTTCAAACTACTAAACGTACAGCCCTGAAAATTTTTTGACATAAAATTTAAAATTTCAAAATTTAGCCAAGAATGGCCTTAGTGAGTTTATTTAATTGCCAATGGGCTTATTGTATTTTAAAAAGAATGTGAAAAGTTTTAATATTTAAAATACAAATTTTTTATCGTATCTTAAAAAAAAATTTACAAATGAATTTATTAATATTTGAATAAATTTATTAATAATAATTTTATAAAGATTAAGTCAAAATGGTGTTCAAAAAGATAACACATAAAAATATTCAAATTTTTCAAGTCTGTTGCGTCTTAATTTTTCTTAAAAATAGCAGCACAAATATGCACCCAAATAGTGAGTCTACAAGAGTTTTAATAGCTATTAATCGTATCGTAAGTAAAATATTATATTAATTTTATATACCCAATACTTACTATTAGTTTCATTCTCAAAAGTTACGCTGTAACTTCCGATAAATTTTATGTTTCACTCATTATTACATAAATGAAAATAATTCTAAATTTTCAAAAAAAAATTTTTTTTTATCGTAATTATTTTCCTAAGAACGTAATCGTAAATAATGTTCATAGCTTTTTTATTTTGAATTCATAATGTTAAACGGAAAGATTTTGCTTTACTTTTGATTGCATATATTTGGGCGAACATTAATAATATTCAAAGCACTTTTCTTTACTGCAATGCTGTTTAATTTACGGTCTCAATTTAAACTGTAAAATAATTTTTTTTTTTTCAATTTTATTTTTATTATTGAGCATTTAAATAGTTCAAATTTTGCATTACATACAGAATTATTGAATTTGTTTCAATCGAATTCTTGCTAAATTATTTTTAATTATTATTTTCAAAAATATTTTACATAATTTCTGTATAACGTTAGAGTTTAATTAACAATTTAGCTTCTAGTTATTTAACAAATTAATTCGATGAAAAATAATTATCGTATTCTAGTTTAATATTTTATTAATAATCTTACAGATTTATTGCTTGATTGCCTTTTAAATTTGATATCTTAATTTTACTTTCAAGAAATCACAATTTTCTTCAGGCTCATACATAATTTTAAATGGAAAAATGAAATAATATTCTTACATAAAAATTATTTAATTAATTTATATTCACCATTATATAATAGATATATCTATTACAATAAATTTAATAAATTACTTTTTAACATACCCAAATTTGTTACAAATTGTACAAATAATAATTGGAAGATTTTTCTGTAATTTTAAGAATAAGTAATTTAATCTTATACTTCATTCAGACTTAATTTTATTTTATTTGCACATAATCAAATTTCTGTTAATTTAATAACATTTTTTATGTAAGAAATAACATTTTAGCCTTAGTTCCTTTGAAAATTCTAATTGTTATCTATCATATTTCTTATATTTCTAATATGTTAGATAAGTTTCTATGAAAACAAAATCTAATTAAATTTTTCGATTGTTAATGATTTTCAGAAATTTAATTTGATTAGTTTGCCCTAATAAATATTATTTTTATCCAAAAATCCAATTATTGTATGCTAATAAAATTAAAAATAATTGTTATGGTTTGTTTATGTAATGATTTGTTTTTATTATTACGAAATCCTTGCTTATCCTAAAAGATTTGAAATAAATGAAAATTTTTAGTGTTAATTAATGTGGATTTTAAAGTCATTTATTAAACCAGTCATATTTTTTAAAATATTTCTGAATTATACTTTCAGTTTTTGGATTTTATATTAGTTCTTTTAGAATATACAAATAATAATTTCAAAAATTAATAATATCATTGCGTATATAGTTTGTAGCGCTATACAGAAGACATTTTTTTGTATTTACACAACAAATTGCTTTTTTGAGAGATGCTAGTTTATATTAAGATTTTTAATATAAATAAGAGTCACTCAAAAAAACAAAAATTAGTTTTATTGTGGAATTCAAAAAATTGTTTTCTGTATAACACTATAAACTATATACACAATGGTAATATTAATTCTTTTCACCGGGTCTCTAAGAAAACGTTTAAAAAGTACCTCAATTTGTCGGAATTTGTTGTTTTTAATAGTTACTGGCAATATTTTTGTGTATATCATATAGGCACTAAAACATTAAGAATCAAAATTTTGGAATGTAATTCAAATTATTATTAAAATGTGCTTAAATGAATTTTTAATTTTCCGGCTTAATAACAAAAAACTATGAACAAACGAGGAAACCCTATTCTTATAGTTTGATTTACATTACGAAACAATATTAAATCGAAACGAAAATAATATTAATATTATAAAAACATTCAATTCTATTTTCAGACGACCAAACTTACGACGATTTAATTGATCGGGATTATGAAGGAAGAAAACATAAAAAGAAGCATAGATTGAAAAGAAAATTAAAAAAGTTGGCAATACCATTATTATTAGCTTATAAATTAAAATTTTTTCTATTAATACCTTTACTAATTGGTGGACTTGTATTATTAGTTGGAGCAACTGGGACAGCTGGATTTTTTTTCGCTTTATTTGCAGCAGTAATGAGTCTTAAATCTGAATCCTTACATTTCAAGGGTGATTGATTAAAATTTATTTTAATAATAATTAATTGATGAAGTTCAAATTCAGTTATTACAAAAAAAAAATTTTTCGAAATTAGTAAACATTTTGGTAATAAAAAATATTAGCCAGTAATAATCTGAAAATGAAATAAAATTTTATAAATTTCAAATTATAAAACTAAAATATTTTGAATTAGACACAAACTGTTAAATAAATAAAATGCATTTGGATGCACATATGATTGTATGAATTAAAATTCAACCAACTGAAAATATTAGATTTAATTTAATTATTTATGATACAAAAAAACTTAATTTATTTATTTATTTTTGGATTTATTTTTTTAAATTTAATTAATCTTTGAACTTAAACTTTGATTTAAAAAATTATGCTAATTTTTTTTTTAAATAAAAATTAATTATTTTTAAATTTCTGTTCTTTAGAATTTGTATAAGAATGCTTTGTATATAATAAAATATTTTAGAACATTTCAAGTTCGGAATAATTATGTGCAATAGGAATTTTGGGAAATGAGATTAAAAGTATTTGAATAAAATAAAATAATTTTATTAATTAAGTATTTTCAACAGCAAAATTATTACTAATTTTTGTTTTCAAAATTTTTTAATGAGTAAGTATCTTATAAAGTAAATATATTTAATTTATTAATTCCTTATCACGTATCTACGACGAAATCTAATTCCCCGCTAAGTCCATTCAGGTGCTTTTAAGAAAACTGGCAAATCAACCACAGATAACCCTGAGAGGTTTTCAAACACATTAAATTGGTACTCCTCCAAAAAGCGTCTCTTCCTATGCATTAGATTGGGCTACTCGCAGAACACGATTCCCTTGTTACCTGAAACCACAACATCTCGGCAATCCCTAGGAGAAATCTGATAAGATAATGCTCAATCTTCTTAGAATTTTTCTAAATAAACAGTACTAATTACAATAATGAAATCATTACTTAACATTCTGCGAATTAATTCGAATTTTGGAATAACTACAGAGGAAAATACAGAGGACAACAAGGTTGTAAATTACACTAATTGTTTCTAAATATTATAAATTTGATTAATTAAAAATTTTTTTCTCAAAACCATTCATTTGTTTTACATTTATATATATAATATATATAATATATGCAATTAATTCCGCCATCTATTGTTTTTTTTTTCAAGATTTACAAGATGTTTATTTTCTAATCAAATTTTCATTCCTTGAATATTTTCTTCTCTTTTTCTAAACTTAAACTTTTAAAAGCAAGGAATTTTAACTTCTCATTTATTCAATATTTTATGAGCACTTATATTATGATATACATATATAAATATTATATAGAAATTCCGTGACCAAGATCAAAAATAAAATCTTATTAGTAATTAATACAAAAAATAAACAAAAAATTAAACAAAAGAAAGAGAAACCATTGAAAAGAATCATGTCTAATTTGATAAGATGACAGTTTTCAAAACACAATAATTTTCAAGGATTTTACGATATTAAAATTTAAGAATATTTTGTTGAATTTATTTTATTTTAAGGTCGTTCCCCTAAATAATTAAAACAAAACTGTG